GGGAGAGAGGTTCTGACTGCCAGGTGGGGGGAGGTGAGTCTGAGAATGCCATTGGGATCCTTAGGTAGGGAGCATCTTTAGTGGCGTGCAGTTGACCTAGGGAGTCTGGGGGTATCCCGGCAACCCAAGCTGGATGCCACAGAACACTGGGACATTGAATCCTGGATCTTTGGGGTGCACAACATGCTCGAGAGGCTTACTTGTGAGACCCCAACTGGGTACTCCACTGGGTGAACTTGACTCTACCCGACATACTTGTTACCTAACCACTTAAGCCAGAAAACACATGCTGTCTGACGCAGAAGATGACAGCTATACCAAGAGTGGTATTTTGTTGACTGGCACACAAACATAGTCTTGGTACATCAATGCGCTGTATGCTGTATTAAGATACGGATTATCATGGCAATCCTGTGATGACTATTCTGTTATACTTTTCCTATATTGTATTCCTTGTGTATATTAGGGCATATGTCAGAGGTGCGTCACCATTAGGGCTCACCTCTTGAAGCTGTGTTATTTGTTGCCTTATTATTCAGTAAATGAAACCCAGACATGTTGAGCCTACAGGGCACTCCACAGAAAGAAACTATAACAGGAGTTTGGGGGAAGGTGGATTTAGAGGAATGAAGGAGATAACTGGGAGATGAGGCCAAGACATCCTGGAAGGAAATATGGATTTTGGAAAATGTATGATTATGGAAGAAATTGCACAAGTATGATTGATATGATTGAATTAAGGAATGATATAGCAGATATATTGGCCCCAAAGATACAGCATTTTTTTTTTAAAGGTATAGATCCTGGAATGGGTTTTGGGCTCACACCAAGTCTTAGCTCCAACTTAAGAACAATTGGCTCTTACATCCTGGCCCTGCTCCATACTCATGTTCATGAAATCACCAAGGAAAGCAAGCGTCTTGTGAAAACACGCTATGACAGAATTTAGGAATCAGTCGGCTTATGCACCAGGGCAGCGCCTTTCAGTCTCAGCTTCACACAGTGACTAGCTCAGGTTCTTTCATGAGCATAACACACTCTATAAGTCAGACAGTCTTTTAATTTATTTATTCCAATTGGCATTCAGATATATCAAAAGCAAGTCAAACAAACCAGGAAAGACTTACCAGCAAGAGCAAAGGAGGGAGGGACAGTTCTGTTCTGTTGGAGTAGTCAGTTGCTCTCCCCCTTGGCTCTTAGCTGAATTTTTCCACAATTTGGGGTAGGGTATAAACTTATGTGTGGTTGTGGGTGTTCAGTCTGATAAGAGGTGCAACCTTAACTGTTTAGTCCAATAGCCTTGGATTCTGGTCAGTTTAGGTTTCTTTCTTGTCAGTATTTTTGTTGTTTACTTCTTTCTTCTTGGTGGCTTTACTGTGAGCCTTTTTATTGCCCATGGTATATTCATTTAAAAAATCAGGAGACGTGCAATGGAGTGGCAGGGAAGCAGAGCAAGGAGGTCCCAAGGGAAGACAAATGATGGATGCTGGGGCCACGACGTGGCACCCCGTCTAGAAAATGCTCCTAAAG